TCTAAGTGAAGCATCCGAATATTTCCTCCAATGTTCAGGCTGACACAGTGAAATAAAAATTTCTGAATTTAATTAAAAATCATTCAAACGCTCCAGAGCTGGACCACGTGTTGCCTTTGCTATCTGCAAATGAGTGGCCCTCCCCATTGGCCCCAACACAGATTTGTCCCGCCTCGGAAGTGCACGGGGCCATCGGATTGGCTTCACCGGCAGCTCCGGCAGTGGGCTGATGGCTTAATGAATATTCATCACACCGGGCTGCTCGGCTGGGCCTCACTCTGCATGACTCTCTGTGTCTGGCTCACTGGAAGAGAATGTGATGATGTAATGTCAGTGACTTGTTTCAGGAGAAATCATAGAACAAACTCCCATTGTAAGCTGCTGAGTGAAGTTTGAGACGAGAGAGCTGAGAAGTGGAGTGACAGCGACTGTGCGTAATTACGCACGGCAAAGCGTCCTGTAAATACATCAAACTGAAAGAAGAGCATGAGGTTTTTTTTTTTACTCCCACTGTCAATGTGGAGCCACTCCTCTTCCAGAAAAAGTGCCAAGCCCCCTCTGATGCTCCACTGTGCTATTTCAGGTCATTTGGGTCTGGTTTCAGCTGCAGTGGGAGAACCTGACAAACAGGTCGTGGCACCGCCTTCAAATCACGAAGCGCATAAAGGCGCACCCGTCTTCCCACAAATTGAAAAGAACGAACAAGACATTAACAGTCCACGAAGGGGACACACTGAAGAACCGTGCCAGTCGACCAGCGCAGCTCGCCTGATTCACCGGACAGCCAATCCCCGCAGCAGCAGCAGCATCACAGCCGCTTCTCTAAGCCGATCAGCTCAGAATTAAAGCAGGGCTCTCACAGAGGAGCAATAACAAGACAGGAGCCGCTGATCCTCTATTTCACTTCTGTTGCTGAGTTGAAAAAAACCGTCGCCAAGATGATGATGCAGCTGTCAGACGCACACAACCAAAAGAACTCACTCTTCACGGCCATGAACCGCTTCATCGGCGCCGTGAACAACATGGACCAGACCGTCATGGTGCCCAGCCTGCTGCGGGACGTCCCACTGGACGAGGACCGGGAGCTGAGCTCCATGAAGTCGGACATGGACGAGGGGGACATGTACAGCTACTACCAGCTGCTCAAGTCCATCCGCACGGACATGGAGTGGGGCGTGCGTTGCGCCACGGTCGATGACGAGAGACGACAGGAGACCATGATGATCACCCGCATGAACTCCACGACTTCCACCTACTCCTCCGCGTCCTCGTCGTCGTACGAGGAGGACGAAGAGGAGGAGGACGAGGATCTGGAGAAGCAGTTCCAGTACCACCTCACCGGGCTGCAAGGTGTCCTCTCCAAGCTCACGCAGCAGGCCAACTCCCTGACCAAGCGCTACAAGAAGGAGATTGGTATCGGAGGATGGGGCCAGTAACAGAAACTGGGAGAAAACCCTTTTTTATTCTTGGACTAGCTGACCTGACTTATCAATAGGCCTTATTGCTGCTGCCATGCTGATTACATGTACTGACAAATAGAAACGACTGGTAGAGAAAGGGGGCAGCTTAATTCCTCTCTACCAGCCCACATGGTGTTGGTCTGCTCTGTGGTATGTGGACTGTAGATGTGTTGATCTTGAAGAAGGCATCTTGTGTACTCAACACCAAACCTCTTAAATGTTTTGCACTCTGCGTGTTGTGCACATGATGCCTTTCAGTTCTTGTGATACGCAGATGAAACATATTTAAACCTTTTTATTTAACATATTATTTATTACCTCACACTGGAGCTATGTTTGAGAGCCAGATGTCATTTCAAAGTTGGAGGACCTGTCATTTTAGCCACCCCCCTCCCTCCCTCTCTCTCTCTGTGTATGGGGATACAGACAAAAGACTCAGCTTCCTCCCCTGTGATGCTGATGATGTCAGTGTGTTCACATGTATTTGTGCTTCTCCAAGTTTAATGCTTCTGTTTCTTTAAATTGTGCTTCGCATGGAAGGAGGCTTACGCTACTGCAGCTGCCCATGATCTCCCACTGTCCTACATGGTCAATGAACTGGAATCAACTGATAATTCTTTTAGCACAGAGAATAATGATGAGTTTCCACGAGATGCATTGTTGTTATTGTCATTTATGTTGTCATTACTGAGGTATTACTGGATTTGTCCATCTGTCGGAGTGAGTGAACGTTTTTGTACGCACCTTCCACGCAAATTTTGTACTGAAAATATAAGTTTTTACAAAATAAAACTTTTATTTAAAAATACTCAGTTTGTTGTGTACGTTTGTTTTTCATGGATGCAAAAAATGTGAGCAAACAGCACAAAAAAATCACAGGTGTCTACTTGTTATTCTACCTTGCCCCTTATCAGAGCGGACACCACAGCCAAGGCTAAACAACCTGAAATATGACAGCTTTTTTATATTATTAATACATTGTTTCTTGAGATATTTGCAGACAATGTCTCACAATGACCATGAAAGTGAGAAACATTCCTTGGTGAGCCAGATCTCACGCCCCATCCCATCCACCAAGTTCAGACGCTTTGAGTCTAATGCCAGTTGAGGAATAAACAAACCCACAAACAGACACGGCTGAAAACATAACCTCTTTGGCGGAGGTACAAAACACTGTTATATACGATTTCTTGGAAGTTTAATAATAGAATGAACAATCAGTTCACTGCAGAAAAACAATCTGAGACGTGGGCAGCAATTCAGAGATTCTCAGAGAACCGGGTTCTAAAGAATACACTGACAAAATGTCAGACAGAACATGAGGACAGAAACACAATTGTCTGCATCTCTGCAGTGTCTCTGAATGCATCGTCTCATACAGGTGATGTAACGATTGCTGTGCAGACAGAACGTAAACACTTGCAAAGAGTTCGTCACAGCTGCTGCTGGTGCTTTTATTCTGATGCAGATTTCACCTCCAGAAGTTCACTCTCAGGATATGATTCTTTGATTTTGTTTTATTACTACCTCTGCAACAGAGGGTGTTTTCCCTCAATTGGTTTGTTGGTTGGTTTTTATGTGTGTTTGGAAACAAGATGACACAAAAACAACTGAATGAATTATTAAGAAGGTTGGTGGAAGGATACCTCAGCCGGGAACCCGTTCAATTTTGGATCAGGGTGCAGATCCATGACTTTTTTTGAATTGTCTTTAACATTGAGCGATAGAGTGTCTTTTGACTTTGTCACATATTTTCCAGGGAATACTGCACGATTCAGGCATGTTTAGGGGACTGGTATCTATGTATGTGTGCAGTTTGGTGCAGCTGGATGGAAGTCAAGGGCCTGTCTACCTTGGTGGAGGCATGTGGTCTACGTAGTGTCAGTGTCATTATTATTTGTGGTTGAACAGCATTCTGTTGAAGGTGCAAAAGGTTTATGACACTAAAAGTTATGTGGGCTAAGGCTGCACTTCTACATTTGTTGCTCTTGTGGATTATTTTACTTGCAATCAGCAAAGACTCTTGTACTTCCATTTATAATGATATGCATCTCAAAATGTGTTACTTGGATACATATAGAAACAGGATTTAAATGTATAAACAGGGAGGAGGAAGGGTTTAAGGCCTGCAGTTGAGGAATGTTACCTGTCAGTTGAGTTTAAGAGACAACACCTTAAACCACTTGAACTTTCAAACTCAAACAAACCGAGGGAAACTGTTGCACTTGGTGTTCTATTCGATTTTAACCAGCTCCACACATTATTGTTTATTCTATAGGCTGGGAATACATATGACAGTTTATATAACTGTGCACGGCACCCAGTTAATTCTGCTTTTTATTGTGCCTTTATATAGAATTTTAAAATGAGCGCAAAGAAGAAAGACTGTATTTCAGTTGTGTGCATGCATGCATGTCTTGTTTTATGTAATAATAATAATAAGTGGAAAAAAGAAAATAACAGAAGTACTGTAACTGACAGTGACAGACTCAAAGGCCACTGCAGGGAGATGGAGGCAGCTCGATGTTCGGTGCCACAAACAGTCAATGTGTCTCTTTTTGGTGGAAAGACGATTACGGAAGAAATAAAAAGTCATTTTAATGCATTCATCGCAGAGATCACTTGGCATTAAAGTTGATTTTAGATGTAGCCTAACATCAAACTGCTCTACACGACAACCACATTATACCGTACATTTAACAAAGACTGCTTTAATTGATTGCCATGTGTTGAACATATTGGTTGATACTTATAATGACCAATAACATACAATGATATAGTTATTTGAACATTTTCCCTAATGCTGTTTCACAAAGTGTGTTTGAAATCAGGTCGAAGATAAAATATTTCAAGTGGAGCAAAACTTCTCCACCATGTTCAAAGCGACACACCTTCTAAATTCCTTTTTCTTTCTGATTGTGACTCTTCTCAGGCAATGCAGCCATGCTGCTATTTTCATTTAAGGCAAAGGTAACATGCCTTGTTGTTTTTCCTTTAAATTAAGTTGCTAGTTTTTATAAACAAGCAAAGAGAACAGATAATCTTAGTACCTTTGAGGGGGAAACCACAGGCTATTTCTTATATGCTTTGTTTCCGTATCCAGTGTGTTTTGCTTATCCAAACCCTGCTGGTGCCTTGATCCGTCATGAAGCCTTGTTTGTTGCGATTTCCATGTAGAACATGTTATTCAAGTTGGGAACATTAGTTTGAAAGTTTAAAGAAGTGTAAAAGAATTATATAGTAGCAACAATATGTCCTTCTCAATATGGTGTAGCAGCGGTATACAGTAGCACAAGAGTACCACGTAAATAAAGTGCTGATCTGCTATAAATAAAATAAAATGAAATAAATCAGCATCAAACATGCAATAAATATATATATTTTTTTAATTAAATGAATTTCAACAGAAATGCACAGACAGTTTTTAATCTATACATGTAATGTTACAGAATAGGGTTTTATCAGACAACCTGTGGAAACAACTTTTCATAAACAACTCAACGACTCCCTCGCGACAGACGCGCAGCTCATGTAGTTTGTCCCTGCGTGCGCACCGTAGAAACAGGAAGTAGAAGTAAAGCTCCAGCAAAACAAAACCAAACTGAGGCGAAATCATCTCAAAATAAATAACCCTGAGTGAAAATGGAATCTGTAGACACACGGCCACCTAGTAACGATTCACGCTGCGTATTTTTTAATGCACATACCGAAGACTATCGATGCGTAAGTAGCTAACGCCACTGTGTGCTCTGTTTTCTTTTTAGCTTGGGGGCTAATTAGCTGGTTAGCTTCACAACGTGTCACTGTTAGCTCACCTCTGGGGTCAGCGATGACTGCGCCCGATGGGTTCATACATGATCGATAGATTTATCGATCATTAGAGGTTAGCATGGTTCCCGGGGCTAAACTGTTAGGGTGCAGTCGATCAGTCATCAACAGGCTAGCTGTTTATTAGCCTGTTTAATATGAGATAAAGTTATTTTCCACCTACGACGCTGTAGCTAACGAAAACTTTAATATTAAACCAACAACTTCGCGTCTTTTGAGCCACTTATCCTCCTACATGTGTGTGAGATTGCCCTCGTTGAAGCCTTGGTAATATTTTAAATCCATTATTATGTGTAATTTATCAAACAAAAACAGTACATTTATTTGCTTTTCCTTTTTTTAAAACTGGATTGCATTGAATTTACATTGTGTTCAGTCTCCATCTTCTGCATAAGTGTAAAAAGTTGATTATTAAACCTCAGTTCCCTTATGTTCCCAATAACTTAGTCAGGAAATAAACAGACTGGATCAATGATTGTTGATTAAAGTTTAGTGACAGAGTCAGTCCATGCCACAGTTAATGTGAGGAGGTATATCTTTGCACGTCAGCAGCTTGAGGCTTCATGTTATCATCCCGTCTGTGGGCTCAAACATCACAGGAGGAATTCTGCAGTAATGCCGTCTTGCCAAGGGCCCACATTTCTCCTTTAGTGACAAGCAATCGATCACAATCACAAGCAATGAATTAGTGTTTTACACTTTCCGACCTTCCTAGGTACCAGTTTTGCATCTCACTTCTCGGGAAAATTAAAGACAAAATGTTCAGGCATGAATCCACTGTCCTTATTTTTCCCATATGTGTCTTTGGAGTATTTGCAAAATACGATTGCTCGTTCATTCAAGTAAAGATTACTAAGAAAATTAAACACTTCAAGTCAAAAAGGGAGTGAAGGAATGTAAACTAATCAGTTGATAACAAGCCTGCAAGATCCTCTTCTCTTTGTGTTTTGAGCAACACTTGTCACAAATTTAAGTTGAAACTCAGGATTGTTAACTTAATTACTCAATCGACAAAAACTTGAATATTTTCATTTTATGAACCATTTCTTCTCATTAGTTGCAGCCCCAATACTTCACTCATTTGAAATCAAATCTGTGTTAATATTATAAGGCTGCATAAGGTGGTCATTGCTTATTCTTTGGACATTTTCTCTCTTTATACTCTCGGACACTTACAGGACTGACTCATCTGTGTGTTCTTCTTTTCATTCTTTCTTTCATTTTAGTTTTTGTTCCTCGTCTTCTCTCCGAGTGTAGCTCTCAGATCAGTTTCAGGTTGGATGTGGGTTAGCACAAAATATGCAGTGTGTCAGGTTCTAGCCCGGTTAACAGACAGGCCTGTCAGTATATCATTCCCTTCACCTGTCTAATAGCAGCAATCTGTGTTATATATTGTGTTAAAATGGGTCAAATGCAAGTGGAGGTGATTCAGAAACACCTCAGATGAATGAGGTTCAACCACATTGTGAATCCTTTACATTTCAAATGCTTGCAGTTTTTAACGTATACAAATCAGGACTTTTTTTTATAATACTTCCTTTAACTGCATGTGTGTTTTCAGGCACGTACACAAACAAACAAAAATATCACGCAGTATGTAGCTAAGTAAAAAGTATGTTGTTTTTATTAATTGTGTGTTGTTATGTGTGTTTCTGATTGACAGGTGGTGATTTTAACAGTAAAACGAGCCACTGGCACGATCTCCTTAGCAGGATGGTAAATATTTCCTGATAGTTTTTCTTTCTCAGTTTACACTTTGTTTTTAAGGCCTCTGCTCTACTGACTGACATTCCACTGACCAATGCAATTAACAAGAAATGTCTCATTGCTGTCTTTCTTTTCTCCTCAGTCTCTTCATGCTGTTTGTGATCTGGCTGCTTCGCAGATATCACTCTTTGGCTCAGGTAAAGTTGTACACTTCAATGTACAGTATGTTTTCCATTTATTTATGCTTTGTTGCCACAGGAAATGTGTTCAATTAGAATTTGTAAATCTTGGTATAATTGAACCAAATTAAAATGCACAGATTAATCAGTTGTGAAGTGAAGTGACTTGTGGTAATGATTTCCGTCCTCTGCTTTTTCCTCTCTCCAAATTAAGAGATTAACATTAGTCTGAGTCTTCGCTGAAAAATCTCAGTCAAATTCTTTTTTGATAAATTTCCTATCCTACATCACATTTATAAATTCTTTGTGTGGGGTTGAGCGTGCTGCTTGTGAACTCTGCAGCTGGTTTCTGTTTTTGAAGCCGGTCTAGCGGGTCTGTCAGGTTTAGCAGTGCCTCGCGTTATCCTCCTAATCAGAAAATAAGTGACAGCTTAACGCCGAGCTCTGATGGATCCTATTACCTTCAAACCAGGTCGAAAGCAGTGGCCTCACCTTCCTCCTCCCTCTTCCCTCCTCTTCCTCCACCTCCTCCTCTTACACCACACAAACCCTCTCCTTTACCTCCATCTCCACACAAAGGTTATCTGTCAGTCAATAGTCTTTAGTGCACTGTGGCCCTCCTGTGCTCTTCTCCTCTGTCTCCTCCTCCTCGCCCCCCACCCCTTCTCTTCCTCTGCAGCCTTGCCAGGGTCATTGCTGGAGGACAGAAATGGACACAAAGCTCTGTGTGTCTCTTTATGTATCTACCACAGCCACCTCTATAGTCACAGTCACAGTAAAAACTGACAGCTGGCATTCATAGCAAATACCATTTTACACTTCTGGACTAGGCAGATTATTGATTTATTCCTTAAAAACCTATTGAGTTTGGTTTGTATAGAGGGAATTAAGAAGACTCTCCCCTCTGTGATATGTTCACCGAGTTGTCACCAGGGACGCCGTATCCCAAGCTGTCAGCCACATCAGTGATCATTTGATCTATGATTTGCCCTTTTCGTCTGTGTGAATATAAATGCAGTGGCATCCCTTTTCATGTCGTTCTCTCATTTTCCCTGTACAGAAGATGATTCTCAGCCTGACTGTCGCCGCCTTTTTCGACAGCGTAGCATATGTCATGGTGAGTTTCTCCTGTCGGTTTCACTAAACACGCAAATATTCTTTTTTTTATTATTTCTCTCCTTCCTTTACCCAGGGTGAGTCACATTCAGAGGGGTCTCTTTGTGCCTTCCAGGCCTGGTGGCTAACTTACTTTGGTAAGTCAAAATTGAATTAATTACTCACTGGCAAACTTTGCACGATAGAGACGAGTACTCCAGCAAAGACATCTGTTGAGGAGCTCATATATCACAGTGGAAAATAATACGGCTTTGTCAGTTGTTTTTTTTGGCTCGGGAACAAAAAGCATCTCGACACTGATTGTTCCAGCTTATAACATCTTTCATCTAGATCTTTCTGGAATGTAAGGTGTGGAGTTGTTTCCGCTTACTTCCAGTTTTATTTGTGTGATGTGAATCAAAACATACATTATCTAAAAACACAGCAGAATAGGGGTTTGAGACCCTACAGTATTACTGAGAGAAGAGGAGATAAGAGCGAGAAAGCTTTTTAAATCGACAACATTTTCAAAAAGAGAAAGTCACCACTTTTCGTAAAATGAAAATCTCCACACCTGTAAATCTTCTTAGAAAACCGATGTCCCCAAATCACAGGACACTGGTACTTAAAGCTCAATAGGTCCAGAAACTGTGATTGCAATTTGGTGCAGATCCAATTAAGAATCTGGATTGAATTTAGTGGATTTACAGTTGACTTCAATTTGGTTTGTCTTTTTTTAATCAGCCTTCATTCTTCCACACTGGAGATATGATCTATATTGTTCTCTTTGGCTTATCTGTAAGGCGGGACTGTTGGGCCTTGTATAGGCATTGATTGTAGTTCAACTCAACCTATGTGTCCGACTCAAAATGAAGGGGTGTGTATTTGCTTGTCATTCGATGCAGTTCACTAGCCGTCATTGCTGACAGTTAAACCTGCTCATCATTTAGGAATATTCACACAACACACCCACACTAAGAATACCACACCCACAGTGGTGGTGTAACACTTGGGAGTCAAACACAGTGTTGTTAACTTATTGGCAGTTCATGGTGCTGCCTTGAAACCAGATTCCTCAGCGTTTCATCACCGTCTCCTGTATGAGGAGATCATTTTCCTCCAATGACAGAACAGGACTGCAGCATTTCATTAGAGTTAATCATAGTCGTTTATATTGTTTATAGTTTGTACTGATGAAACAGGAATTTTTTTACATGGGAAATCCTGGTTTTATTTGCATTGCTGGCATTTGCTGTAATTAAAGCTCCTTTAGCCTTAATTAGCACGAGGATTCTTAGTTAAGACCGGTTGCTAATACGACACTTAACCAGGCTTGTTTTCGCCTTTGTGGCTTTTGCTTCGCAGACAGACACACAAGCACCGAGACACACACACACACACACACACACACACACACACACACACACACACTCACACTCAGATGGGTAGAGGGTAATGGGCAGTGAGTTACTGCTGCAGGGTTCGTGCGTGTCACCTCGGTTTATCATGAGGATCCTCACGCTGAGGACAAACGGCTGTACATAAACACTGGCTGAACAGGCACTGTGTTCTGTTGCGAAGCGTCAGGTCTAGTGGGAGCCTGAGAAGCACAGCTCTGCTTTTAACTCCAACCAATAAAATTTTATGAAATGTGTTTGAAATGGAGAAAGAAGATGGTAGCAGGGGCAGCGTCAGGACAGGTGGTGTTTTCGAGCGAAAGCGAAGCCCCGGCTGGTGCCTGGTTATATAAGACGGCTTCTCTATCACCGTGACAGTGATTTATTGTGATGATGACATTGACGGCCAGCCTCCTTCTTTCTTAGTCACTGCGAGCTCTTCCTAAAGGTTCCCTGGGTGTAAGAAGAGTGTGTGTGTGTGTGTGTGTGTAGGGGGGGGGGGGGGGGGGGGGTGGGTGTGTTGTGTGAAACTGAGTAAACTGAGTATGCGATTCAAAGAATCCATCTTTGTGACGACCGGCCCTGCCTGTCCTGTCAACAGAAACTACACACACACACACACACAGGAAGAAAAAAAACCGGAAAATGACTAAATACGAGGGCAGAAAAAGCAAAGCGATCTTTCTCGACTTTCTTCTTTGTCTCTGTAAAATGCATTAATTTTTTTTTTGCCCCTCTGCTGACTGCACCTTCATTTCCCTTTCTTCATTTCATCTTTTCTTCTCAGCATCTTTACACCCTCAGATCTCATCCACTCCGCTCGCCCCCACACACCCCCACCTCCCCACAGCTCGCTCTCCTCCTCCTCTTTCCTTTCCTTTCTCTCTCCGGCGCTATCTCCCTTCTGCTTTTCCACAGTTCATCATTATCTCTCTCGGAGCTCCCCCCTCTCATCCATCACCCTGAGCCACAGGTTTCCCTCATATTACTGCAGAATGGACCTTCATTTATCAAAAATTGGGCCACATGCACGCACAAATACACACACACACACACACACACATACATTGGATGCACATTTGCAGGTGCATGCTGTGTGTGGGGGGGGCAGTTTGTAATTTGACCTTGTTGTTTTTCTGTGTGTGTGTGTCGACAGACTGGAGTTCCTTGGCCTGGGTTTGCCTCATCACTTTGAACCTGTACCTCAACCTAGTCCGAGAAACAAGCACCAACAGATTTGAGATGTGAGTAGGAAACTTACCCCCCCCCCCCTCGGTTTGTCTCTTTTTTTGTTGTGCCCACTTTGTGTGTTTATGTGTGTGCATGTGTTTGGTCTGCCGGAGCATGTGTCTCCCCACAGAACATTGACAGCCCCCCCTCCTCCTCCCCTCCTCCTCCCCTCCTCCTTTTCTGTTCCAGCCAGCCGACGCTCTAATTGAAAAGGGAGTGGGTTTCAGCCGTTCAGCGCCAGTGTGTGTGCGCACCCATCTTCACGCTTTGCAGCGCTGTGTTTCTGTCGCTCAAACTCCCATGAGCAGTCTCCACAGTGCGAGTGTGAATTTGCTTGTGTTGGTGTGAGCTATTTTCTCATTTTCCATTCCTAGCACGGAGCTTCCTGACACAAACATGCAATCTGAAAAAAATGCGCTCCATGGGCGAAAAAAAGAGGCAGCTTTAACAAGTTTGCAGCACCGCTGTTTGCTAAGTCAAGGCGATTGTTCGTGTGTCTGCTACCCCCATCACCAATCCCGGGGGGTTTCCCTGCAGTGATTAGCAATAAGCCAGACGATACAATAGTGCTATAACTCAGAAGAAGATGCCTTTATAGGTGCAGAGAAGGGGGCAGGCCAAAATCAGCTGACTTCACAGGCTTATGAGCTGCACACCTCTTGTACGACCGGAGAGAGTAAGGTGGGAGGAGGATAAGTCTTTATCTTTGTAGCTGGTCGCACATGACGTGGAGAGAAAAAAACCCCCACCACACTTAATAGGTTAGAGCGAAGCGCAGACGAGGCATCAGGGGGGCTGTCGTGTTTTGACTGCACATAGATAAGCTGTATGTGTTCGGCAGGCGAGTATGTGGCTTTGCATGCATGCACAATTACCCCTCAGCCCCTGAACACAACCTCCCACCCTCCCTCTCACACGCACACAGTGACGGCACAGTGTGATGGTTTATGAATGAACAAATCGCCAGAGGAGATGGAGAAGGAGAAGGGAGACTGGATGATCTAAGAGTGATTGAAGAGGATGCAACAGAGGATAGGAAGTGCGTTTGTGTGTGTCCGTTTGTGAGTGTATGTGCGCGCGTGCATCTATTTTTACGTATTTGATGGATGGATTCAGGCAAACTGGATCTGCTGTGCGCAGAGAGCACAGAGATAGCGGAGAAGCTGAAGACGGAGGGTAGGAAGAAGAAGCGGTGTGAGGTGGGGGAGAAATGAGATTGAGCCTCGGGAGAGATTTCCTAGTGAGCTTGCACGTGTGCGTGTCTGCACGATGGCGTGCGTGCAGGTGTGTGAAATGCAGAGCACAGAGCAGTCCTGCTGTGCCTCATTAGGCCCATGTTGTGCGCTGCTCCAGACCTCGGCATCTCCCTCTCAAAGTGTTGTGTGTGTGTGTGTGTGGGATATGCGTGTGTGTGGTGTGTGTGTGGTGTGCGTGTGTGGTGTGCGTGTGTGTGTGTGTGTGGTGTGCATCTGTGAGTCTGCAAGCTCTCCACATTGATTTCCTGACAAGCCCCCCTCCCCGCACCGATCGTCACGCCATGAACTGGAAGCACTGATTTCACCATTTGTATCCCTCCTCCCACCACCACACACTCTCTCGCTCTCCCCTCGATCTCTCCTTCTCTCTCTCTCTTTCTCTCTCTCTATCTCCCTCGCTGTCCTCTTTGCTCTTTTGCTCGCTCAGCTGCTCGATTGCTTTCTCTTTTTTAGGTCTTCCACTTTTTTCCTTTTGTCCCCCTTCGTCTCCCTTGTTTATTCCTCTCTCACACACTTGCTCTCGTGTTTTATCTAAGCGCACCCTCTCCCTGGATCTATACATTTCCTATGTCTCTTTCCCACCCACCATTCTGTTCTATTTAAACCACCAGCCATCTCTTTTCCTCCACCACCTCCCACACACTCGCACTGCTGTCCATCAGATGGGGGGCATAGGGGAGCACAGTGTGCCCCAGTGAAAAAGAGTGTGTGTGGTGCACAACTCGAGAGGGATTGAGCATGTCTCAGCTGTGTCGGCACCGCTCGATTGACCGCACTTGGAACAAGTCAGGGCAGGACTTCCACTCTATTGACCAGGCAACGCTCTTCGCTCTATAAAGTATCGACGCCCACACTGACACCCAAGACACTGGAGCACACACCTCATCTATCAGACACACACACAGTCACGTTATTGAGATTTTTCAAACTTCTTAGATGGCAAATCTCGGATATTTATTTATTTTTGACAGCTACTATTAGCCTCTGTGACCTTATTCTATGATAATAGTCTGTTTATACCGTACATGCACATTTTTAAGACACAATTTACGCCGCCTGGAGAGAATTTGCATCCTTTTTTATGGTTTTGTATCATACATCTCCTCTGTAAATCTTGTTTTCCACAACAGTGAGGATAATTATGGTTTATATTACTATGAGTAATTGGCAGTCTGGCCGTATCGGGATCTGCACCTTAAAAATGACCCCTATGTGAGTGCCAACAGAGGGATGAACTGAAGTAGAAAAGAATTGATTTAGTCATAGGACTTTTTCTCAGGGGCATAGCTCCCTAGTCTCAGTGCTCAGAATGAAATAAATGTCTCCTTTTTATCAGGTTTTACCATCTGGTGGCGTGGGGGGTTCCTCTGGTCATGGCCTCTTTACCCCTGCTGAAGGGTTACTATGGCCCCGCGGGAGCCTGGTGGTAAGTATGGCCAACGGTCCATCTATAGCATCTTTTTTATTTGTGAGCCAGCGACGGTATATTTTCTATTAAATGTCTTTACTTTGAAAGAAGGCCACAGCTCTGGCCTCGTTCCATCTCTAGCTGAGCTTCGTCCCTCGCACAGTTTTATTTGATAAAAATTGGCAATTATCAGCACATCCTTGAAAAGTAAAAATGCCCCCCCCCCCCCCTCACTCTCCAGTTCTTGTGGTGAATAGGAAAGGCATTATTTGTTTGGAGGGTAGTTAAGGGGGTGAGGGAAAAAAGGGGAAGAGGCCGAGGAGAGGAGGAGGTGGAATGAGAATTGGGACAGAGCCTTAATCTCCGGGCTCGGCTCTCTCTTTCCACTCTCAGCTTATTAATAGCTACAGCTGCACAGCTTTTCCCCTCCGCAGTCACACAAGTCTCTCTTCCGCTCACACTCTTCCTTTCTTTTGTAACCCTCTCATCGCTCTCCCTCTCTCTCCCCCTCTCTCCCCCCCTCTCTCTCTCCCTCTCTCTCTCTTTCTCTCTTCCTCTTCCCCCAGCTGGATCACAGACGATCACGTAGCCTGGAGATTTGGGATGTAAGTAGACCCTCTCAGCGCTGCCATCAAAGCTTCCCCTACTGGGGGAGGGGGGGGCTGTCTCCACGGGGAAATGTGAAGGGTTGCATGTCAGGGGAGCCTGCAGGGTTTTTTCCCTCTTGGTGTAAGGCCAAGATGTGTGTCTGTGTGTGTGTCTGTCTGTGTGTGTGTGTCTGTGTCAGTGTGTCTGAGTCTGTGTGTGTGTTTGGTGCGCACGTGTGGATGTGTCTGTATCTGCCTCTGCCTTGTCAGATTTAGGGGAGTTGCTACACTGTGTATTTAAGTGTTTAGGACGGCTATGAAGGATTATGCCTGTCTACTGCTTTCTGCAACTGGCCCTAAGTCTGCAAGGGCTCTGCCAATCCCCTGGCGCAGACTTTTAAACACACACACATGCACGCACGTACACTCCCAATGCCTGCGCACACGGCAGCACCTCACCACGAGCCAAGGTAATCGCGTTGCTGCTCACAGCTTCAGTAGGGAATCAATCTTTCTAAACAAATAAGTGCACACTTAGACTTGCATGCAGAACAACACATAGCTATCAGCTGTGCTAAACGAGCCTGTGTCTCTTTTATCAGTGCTCCTTTGCTCCGCGGCTCTCTCTGGTTTTCCATGCTGTCGTGGCCCTGGGGGACGAGCTGCTCACAGGATCACGGAATCTTCATTAGCACTAATTACATCAAACCAGACAAGAGATTAGAGGCCAAGGCAGCACCCGTCGAGGAAAAAATATACACTCAAACACACACACACCCTGCTGGCTGCTCACGGGGGGAAGGCACAGGAGGGCAGGGGTTGTTGCATTAAAGGTGAAAAGTGGAAAGGGTGGGAGGAGAGACATAAGGGGTGTAGTTAGAGAGATGGAGAATTACTCATCACGAGCAGGAAAGCGGCATACTGGCACGGGAAGCCGAGGAGAGTCAGAGAAATAAATTGCCCTCGTCTCTGCCCACGCCCCGTAGTGTGTCTTCATCAGAGTTCAGCGAAGCGCGCAGACAGGACAGAGGAGGCGGGGAAGGCTCGGAGGAGGAGGAAGAGGATATGAAAGAGGATGAAAGAGGAAGGAGAATGGAAAGCAGAGGACAACGCTGTATGATGGAGGTGCGGAATTTCAGGGTTTGAGTCAGCAGTTGGAAGCACTCAGGCTTAGCTGAGTCACAGCTCTTAGACGTCCCCATCACGACAGAATATGACGCTCACAAACGATTAACATAATTAGCAGGGTAATGCAAGCAGAATGATTCTGTACGCAGGGATGATAATGTCGGGGATTGGTTAAACACTGTTGGATAGATTGTCATGAAATTGTGTGCAGACATTCATTGTCCCAAGAAGATGAATCTTATACCTTCATACACCTCATTGTCTAAACTGTTTTTTCAAACTGTAGAAAGAAGCGATATGGTGTTTGCATTTATATATAATTTATTTCAGTTTCTTCAATGTCAAGGCCAGTCAAGCAGTGTTGGACCCATGCTCGACATGGAGGGAAAACTGTGGCTGAAATAGCAAAGACTCCATGACCTGTGTCATAGCATCACGTCAGTAAAGGGACGTAAATGTGTGTGTTCACCAGATAGTAAATACCTGGGACTGCTCCAGAGTCTTTCGCAGACATGAGCCTTTGTCTCTGAGAAAAATGGCCTAATGTCTGTGTGTTTTTGTCCAGTTTGGGAGGACAAACATAATTTATGCTGGCATGCGGCATCGTTTCTGTTGGTCTCCACAGACCCCTTAATGACGGAGCATAGAGATTCCCAGATGGCTCTGGGAAGGAGATTGCAAAGACTGGTTTTAAAGACCAGGCATTCTGCTGGAAACTATGGAAAAAACCTACGAGTCTGTGGTGGAAAAGAAGCGCACACAAGCTCGAAGCGGTTCTTCTGAAGGGAAAAAAAACTGTATCAACATGGTTCTGGTTGTTTTTGCTCTCTTCACTTTTTCCCAGCAGTGTGGTTGTATTCTTCTCAGTGACGACACCTGTCATTTAATGCCTGTATGAAAAGGAAAGGCGTTATGTCACAGTAGTTGTGCACGATGACCAATTCATCAAGCATATCAGCAGATCGACGCTGACTTGCGTTTTCAATGATTGTCGCCATTAGTTGGACATTTTTGACCACAAACATTGATGTTCCTCTCAAGATGAATCGCTGTAACTTCTTATGTTTCTGTTCTCTCCTTTAGTCCTGTCCCTGCGTAAGTGGTTGAACAGGTAGATCGTGCTCTCTCACTCAGCAGTAGGATCTTGTGGGTCAGAGTTGCAGTTGAACACTAACCCTGCACAGTCGGATCTCTAGACGCACTCTCATCTCCCACCGAGCACTTCAATTAAGGCCTCTTTCATCCAAGCCTCATTCCTCACTTCAGAGCAGCACCAGGGGGAAGGCCAGGCTCGGGCAGAGAGATTGAATCTCTGATGATCTTTCTTTCTGCCAGTTTCAGGCTTTCCACCTTTGCTCGCTGTTGTACTTTCCTCCAGATCTCGAAACCCCCTCTGTATTTATCCACCTCTCTATCTATCCTTCCGTAGTCAATCCATTGGCCGCAGCCTTTTTCTGCTATTCCTCTCCTTCTCACTGTGACCTTATCCCTCTCCCTGTCTTTTAATCACCCAGCGCTTCTTTCGTATTTCTGCTTTCTGGTCCTGACCCACAATCTGCCATCATCCATCCATCTTTCCAGCCTCACCTCTATTCTCGTTTCACCTTTATCATCTGCCCACTCCGGATCCTTTCTCTCTCTCTGCCTCTATTTAATTCCTTCTCTCTCTCGCTCTCTCTCTCTCTCTCTCGCTCTCTCTAATTCGCTCCCTCCCTTTTGCTCTCGCTCTGTCTCCGGGTAGTGCTCAGCTGTAGAGCACAGCGGACTCTAATGGCAGATCGTTATCATGCTAATTAGAGCACTTTGTAGCTGCCGCCCGTCATTCTCTCCTCCTTGCAGCCCCTCCACGCTATTGTTAAAAAGGCCACCCCCTCCTCTCCCCTCTACGCCAACCCCCCCACCCCTGCAACCCGTCTCTCCATCATCAAGGGGACGTGCGCTGGCGTAATTGGATGCTGTTTATTCCGGAGATCAGGTTATTAAATCACACAGAGGTGACGCCTGCACAGGTCTCCCCTGAAACGCTTTCATCATTGTCCCATGCCATTATTGAACCCGTGTGGACGCGCACATACATGTGCACTCGCACACGTGCACTCGCACACATGTTCACAGAGGGTAGTATATATTACCAGATGATACAAGACGTGAAGGAACATGTTGTGTAAAGCGGCCATTCCCCATTTCCTGCTGTGAAACAAGCGTGTACCATCTCAGATTCCCTTGCCAATAAAGCGTTTAATTTATAACGCTAAGTGAGTTTCTTTCGACCCGCAGGCTTTGATGACAAGTGTGGGCGAAGTTGAATTAGGCCATGGACCTAATATTTGCCTATTGACATGCTGCTAACAGATGCAATTTTAGCACACGCTAAGGACTTTTTCAGGCACAGCGATGACGTTTTTTCCCCTGATCCATTTTCCTGTGAAACTGTGTGCGTCCCTGTATTTATGGGTCAGAAACAGACTTAGACTCTGTTTTAAATGTCAGACTTTTTTTCCCTCCTGGATCATGATCAGGCCTATAATTACTCTTGGTGTTGTTCCTCTGCACAATCCATTATGCTTATCACGTAGGTGCATTCGGTGCCAGGTGCTCGGGAGGAATTGGGGTGTTGTGCACACTTCTCTGAGTTACTGAGGCTGAACAGGGAAGTGGTGGCCAGGAACTTGTCGATCAAAGTGAGACAAAGGCTTGTTTCGTGATTACAAGGAGAGGCTGAAACTCCTCTGAGCTTACATCACCTCCCCAGAGGTTGCCTAACACAAGCCTCCCATTCCAACAAAGCCATCACCCCGTTTCCCTCGCTCGTCTTGCTCGCTTTCATCTGCTCAGAACTACCTGACATGTTACTCTTCACCCGTGCCTCTCTTCATTGTCAGCCCTTCATCCCATAGGAATGCCATGCATTTCAAGTGTTGTGACTTTCCTGGCATTATCCTTTGTTTTTTTGTCTGCCTCTCATCTCTACTCGCTGAGGTGCAAGGTCCAGAGGTTCTGAGTCAGGTCTGTTTATGTACATATGGTGCGTCCTCTGCACATCCGCCGGCCAGAATAATTCTGCCAAGTGTCCAACAGTTAAACAGTCTCACCTATACATAAACACCAATTACATATACATAAGTACACTTAATATTCATATGTGCAGTTTAGTTTAGTGTCAATCTGACTTTTCCTAAATAGACTAAGGGTTACAATGATTTAAGTGAAGCATCATATCAGAACAAGCTTCTTTCCCAGTCTAGAACAAATCACATCTAACAACAATAGCCTCCTCAGGTTTTGATCCTGATCGGGGAATCGTATTAGATGAGTTTCAGTGGTCTGATCTCTTTGGCCAGACACCTGGTGTGCCTTTACATTTGATTGTGTTATAGACTGCTACGATGTATGGCCTTCTTCAGACCTCCTGTTCCTGAACCAGGACTGAAGAAAAACAAACCATCACAAACAAAACAACAGCAATGATCTGATCTTTTGATAACACTCAGTTATCTTACTACCTGCTTGTGTCTTTGCTTCTCAGATGGTATGTGCCGCTGTTCAGCCTGATCTTTCTGATGATCTGCTGCTACGCCAGGATCATCTGCGTGGCCAATGCGAGGGTGAGTGATCCTCCTGCGTCCAGTGGGTAGTGGCGGGAACCCAACACAGTGGCAATTAAGCTGAATCCAAATGCATCATGACCTTTTAGAAAACTGACATCAGTGAAAGCTGAAACAGCATAGCCTCATTCTTGATCATGGTGACGAGGCAAAAAACATACACATAGTGCAGATAAGCAAACAGGTTGTGAGCAGACAGGTTGTAAGCAGACAGGTTGTCTGAGTGACTTAAATTTCAGGTAAATTTGAATGCACACAATTAGGTCAAAACGGGTTTGTAAACAGAAATAAGTATTTACAGCAGCACGTTTGAGTAAAGATTTTAAAGTTTTCCTTTTTTTGCTTGCTCAAACATGTCTGGCTGACCTAGTGATCTGTCTAAAACCTGTCTGATCGTCTGACCTCTTTTTAGTGAACTTAACTGCATTTACAGCTCTTTGCAATTAATATGTGCAGTACAATGACCAACAGGAATACAAGCCACGAAACAATGAAACTAAGATCCAAGTCATAATAAGCTCAAACTATCTTTAAAGACACTGATTATTCAGATTATCTAATCTTTTGTCTGTAATAACATGTGTGTTTTAAAAGTCGTCTTTCATGCCACTGGGTGGAAGCAATTTAGGAATTTGTCTGTACATGTATCTATCACCTTTCAAATCAATTATTTTCATATAATATAACATTTTCAATGTGTAAAGTAAAAGTGTGGCTTCTTTAAATTAAATTCAATACCTTTTATTTTTGGATTGATTTTATTTTCTCAACATTTTGAATTTCTCTATGGTTGTATTGGTGTGACGGATACTTTTCACTATTTTGACATTTCAATCACTTGAGTGTCGACCAGAGCAACTGATCTGCTGATTAATCAATTAACCACTTAGTTGATCTCACCGTGTTGGCTCGGAGTTCAGCAGAAGCCCAGAGGCAGTACTCCATGAAGTTCACATAGCTGCCATTCACCCGATCTTACACCGCCACAATGTGGCCGAAGAAGAAAGAAACAATTAATCAAATGCAGAAAGAGAGGAAGAGAGAATGAGGCTAAAGCCACACGCAGGATGAAGTGGTGAACACTGACATTCTCTGTTTGAGCGTCAGTGACCGTGAAACTGATTTTTGCAGATAGCTGGGCGGCAGACGGGCGAGTCAGAGACAGAAAGCAGGTAGCTGAAGGGAAGGGGGATAAAACAGAGAGGACACAGCTCTTTATCATGAATGTGATAAAAAAGAAAGGATGAATGAATGTCGCTGGTTTTGAACCTGCATCTCATAACTCATTCAGCTCACATATTCAGCCATCTCTCCCTCTTCCTCTTGTCTCTCTGTATCTCTGTTTTCCACCTTTCTCATTTTCACCCTTCTCTTTTTCCTTTTTCGAATTCCATTTATCTCTCTGTCTGTCTCTGACTCCATCCCCCTCTCATTTTTCCCTTTTCTCCCTTCAGCCTCCACGTCTGTCTCCCTCACTCCGCCTTCACTCTGCCGTTTTGCTTTCTCTATCATATTTATGAAGAGCTCAAGCCTTATCTCTTTTTCAGCTGCAGGCTGTCTCACTTGAAAGAATTTCAAAAGGCTTTGAAAGGAGGGTAGGTGGCGATGCAACGAGGAATGGGATAAAGAGGAGGAGGTTCATCGAAGAGAGGTGGGATGTTAGCCGGACGGAGAAGTTTGTCCGGTCTCCGGAGTCAGAGGGGATCGCAGGATCGTGGGTGAAAACGAGTCGGTAGCGTGGGAATTCGTTTAGAGAGTGAATGTCTTATAAACCAGTAAAACACTCTGAGTTACCGTGTGAGCTCATACCAACTTGAGAGGTTTGAAAGTTAATGAGTCATGATCACGGCAGACAGAGATGTCTCAGAGTGTGGTGTTGTGTTTGTTTTACGGAAGCGTTTTTTTTACAAGCCGACTCCTTCCCTCCCTAAGCCTCGCGCCTCGGTGCTTAACCGACTGAATTGCTTGCTTCTCTGTGTCGCGGCTTGAGCTAGATTGCAACAAAAGCCGGGCACGCACTCCCGAGACCTGGCCGAAGCCCTAATGATATTGCCACTTATTATCAGTGTTTGTTGATTTTGATGGATCGTGGTGCTCAGCTGTAAAGTGAAGGGCCGCTCTGGAACAAGTTTGGTCTAATGGCCAAATGGCTGTGGCCGTTTTCCTTCCTTCCTTCCTTGCGCCGCACAAACACACCACGTAGTCACACATAGATTTATAATGACAATCACATCAGCACACAGAAACCATGGCAACGTTGAGTTAATAAATAGCAGAACAGCAGAGCTGTTAGAGCGTATCGTTCACACTGCCGTATTGTGTGTGCGTGCGTGTGAAGCTCAGGCCCTCCAGAGATTTTGTCTGTGATGTCTTGGGTTACGTAAACCTTCTGGCTTCATAAAGCCCCCCCCCACCTCTGTCCCACCATTACAAATCCCAGTCCTGTGCATGGGCGTATGCGTGCATGTGTGTGTGAGCGTGCGTTCCTGTTCGTGTCTGTTGACATTTTCCGTGCGTTCCCCTGAGAGGGGAGTCAGAGGAAGAGCGGAAAGTATTCCCATGTCGTCTCCAGAGATTTCAGATCTGCCATGTTTGTTCCACTTTTTTCTTTTTCGTTCACGCTTTCACACAATTTTCTCCCCCTTTCTCTGCTCACCCGTCGCCTCTCCTTCTCTCTCCTGTCATATTGTGAGCACTTAAAGCTGATCAGTTCTCTCTTTTGTGAAACGTTGGGAGCTCCCTACTGCCTCTAAACTCTGCACCCTGCTGTGATTTAGACAATTGTGCAGGGATGAGGGAGAATTGGAAAGATTGAGTGTTGGGATCGTACACAATGTGAAACTTATTCCAGCTTGTCGCTTTATGCACTGACCTCTAAATCTAAGGCCAGTCCTTGGGAATACCAAATAACGTATTTTTCCTCATTTTCTATTTCTTTTTATTTGTTTATTTCGGCCAAAATAACTGACCTGACCTTTCTTTCCACTTTTGTCTTTTCTGAGCAGTTGCAGTCATGGTTGGGAACCTTCAACCCAGAGAGGGAGAGACGAAAGGTAATGGTCTGTCTGATCATCACATTTCTCCACACACACACACACACACACTCATATATACACACATGGAGCGTGAGGATTAAACTGTGTGCAGGATTAGCTCTTGCGGTCACGCTGGGTAGGTGTCAAACCCAGCAGGGAGAAATTTGCCCTCTTGACTCTCTTCATGTGTGTGCTTGAGCGTGTATATAAATGTGGGTACGCACTTACGCACGTGTTCCTGGCGTTACTTAATTAACAGGGAACAGAGGAGGGAAAAATAAGAGCGACATGAAGACAAGAAGACCCTTCATTATGTCGGCCCTGCTTATTTACACCGAACCAAACAGGCCGTCATAATGCCACCACAGGGTGTGATGTTTAGATAAAATGCCAGTGTTAAGGAATCAGAGGCGTGACGTGTAACACAACAACCATGAAGGCTCTCACTCTTAGAACAGACATCAATCCAGCACCATCGCCAGACAGTTTCTGTGTGAACATCTGAGTTTAACACTATGAATGGTTTCCAGGAGAGACTGCCTTTAAATGTGAGCAGTTCTAAATGTATTCAAATAATGTTATGCCCCTCCGCAGCTCACATTGTCGGAAAAAACTCATACAAACTGGTTATTTGAGAATAATTCTTGTGGTGCTTCTTGAAAGTCTGAAGTAATAACTGAGGGTTATCTTGACATGGGCTTGGAGACAACATACCTAGCAGAAATCTGCATTACTTCTAGGATTTTACAAAAGGGAGTAATAGGTTCTATCATGGGAATTGAAAAATCATGTATTTTTAGCACTTGACCCTACTTTGGAATAAAAGTCAGGATATCTCAATGTCTGCTGCTTTGATTTAAAATGTGTCTCTTGTGAGTCCCTTAACTTTAAATGTAATGCTAAGTTGTTGCAGTTCCTCTTTGAAGGATTTGTTGAAGTCAAAAGTATTTCTTCTCTCTGACTGAAAGCTTCTTGTTATGTTATTTCGACTCAGCTCCTGGCTGCAGACATTGAAGTGTCCTCCAGCAAGACACTAAACCTTCAGTTGCTCAAGCAATCGCGCTGGAGATGCCAAATCATTCAAATGAATCATAGCCTTCCCCACAGAGGTGGTCAGTGTTGCAGCACGACTCCTGAAAAGTTTAATATGTAATGGCAGCAATCCCTCGCTGATCTGCCTTTAGTAACCTGCTCACTGTGTCCTCTGCTCTGCTGCTGCTCCTCCGCCCTGCAGGGTGGGGCGTGGAGGGCAGGTTAGGGTTAAGGTTATGTAGATGCTGCCCCTAAGTGGCAGATGTAATCACTGCACACTGAACTGGTGTAACCCTCAACCATGATGGTAATGGCTGGAACACACACGCCCACCGTACATATAGCTAATTGCTATGTCTGCAGTGGTTTCAATCGCACCGCTTTTTCCTGTATTTTTCTTTCACAAATGCTCTCGTCTTTTCAATCTGTTTCTCTTTTAGCCTTTCACTGCACAGACTCTTTCCCCCTCTTTCTTTACTCCCTCACTCCCTTCCTCGGTCTCTCTCTCTCTAACTCTTGTAGTCATACCCAGCATGAATAAAGCAGCAAGCCAGGTTCATGGACATGAATATTTAGGAGAGTTTATGCACGCGCTGCGATGCTTTAAAACAACAACAGCCTCCCTGATTGTGCTTGCCAAGCAAGCGACCGCTGGTTTGTGTGTGTGTGTGTGTGTGTGTGTGTGTGAGAGAGAGAAAGCGAGATAAAATGATTCCTGCTTGGTGTCTAAAGACCACTGGCTCTGGTGATTTCCATTTTCCTCCTTAAATCTCTGTCCGTCTGCGCCTCACATGTTCTCCTTTACTGCGTCTCACACACACCCATGCGTACCTCCAAGCTGTCACTTGTAGCACGCTACTTTCACCATTCTTGATCTTTTATATTCTCCCCCCTCTCTCCCTGACTCTGTCGCCCGATATGTATCTGTGTGTATCTGGCTGCAGCCGTGAAGTACATAACTTGTTTCGACAGTTATCGCGGCCGTCAGTCACATGGTTGTGACACATCTGTGTGTTTCTTGGGCGATTTGTTTGTCGTCACGCTTGAGCACATGCATCCAGTCAGCATCACGAGTTCTTCACAGCAGCACAGGTCAGCAAGAGGATGTACAGAAGAGGGTATTCAAGTAAGACAGACACACACTCTTTCCACAGTTGTGAGGACACTCATTGACATAATGCCTCACATTCAACCCAACCTCAGCAATAACAAATAAATGCTTAGACCTAATCAGAACTCCTGAACCTCATGTGATGACCATCAAACAACCTTTTAAAGTTGGGGGGAACGCCCACACAATGCTGGTGTCAATCAAAATTTTGCCGACACAACTGTAGAGTGACATGTACACACACACACCCACCTTTAAACACATTTGCACAACTGCACACACAGCCGCTCAGTCCTGTCGGGTAGCAACAAAGCTGGCTGAGCAAACAGCGAGCCGCTTGTTCGTTATCTTCCCAGGGTGTTTGTTTACGGAGCCACACAAGCCTTGAGTCACAATGCGATGTGTCTGCTACGCTGTGTCTGTAAAGATGTGTGTGTGTGTGTGTGTCCGTGTAATTGCACACACAACCTTGTGTCTTGTTGTGCATTACCTCTGCACTTGTGAGTCCTCATTTATCCACCGTATTCTAATTTTACATGTCACCAACATCCTGAAGAACGGAGGATGAATAAGCTGCAAGGACAGTTGGGTTTGTCGAGAGCTCTTATGGAACACGCATGGCTTCGTCAAAACACATCCAGCTTCTTTTGTTGAGAAAGGCTCTGCAGCTGCTGGATAATCAGCGATACTTCTGGCTGCTTTCTTTTTACGTTTAAGAAAAACTAAAAGTATTCAATTTTTACCTCCGCCATCGTCCATTTGCCGGTTGGTTTGGTTTGTAAGCAAGTTTACACAAAAACTACTGGACAGATTATCATGAAACTTGGTGGAAGGGAAAAAGCCAGAAAATGTTGCTGCGGATCCAGATCAGAGGGCGGAATTTTCTTCCCCGAGAATAATTCATGGAGAAGAAAGAGGTATACGCTCTACTGAGTGCCATTCTAGTTTAAAATAGTTTTATTAGCACTTTAAGGATTATATATGGATTTTGGCTAAAAAACTGAGATGGAAAGTTGTCTCAACATATTCAACTCTATAGTTTACTAATAAACTATTGACATTTCTCCTCAAAATAATCAACAAATCACATCATGAGAAAAACTCTGTGATGGATGCAGCAGATAAAGATGATCATGGTGATGAAAATTATCTGGCGCCATGTCTCACAGACAAATATTTATCCATGAAACTTAGAAAAAAAAAAAAAAAGCAAATTTTATTTTAAGTCCTTGAATTTCACTTCAGAAAACTTTTTTTAAAAGCCCTTTAATTTGGTGCTCAAGTGCATTTGGGAAACCTGATGCTGTTATTTTTAAAGAAGATTTATCTGCTGAGATGAGTGTGAGTTCAGGGCTGGGTGGATGGGATGGGTCGCTCTCTTAAACTGTCTGTAATCCAGCACGCATCATGAATGTAGGGACCAGTGAGCCCGCAGCAAATAATTACGGTTTCATTCCCTTCTGCTTCCCGAGCAGTGCAGGGGCCTCTGACACGGGAGGACTGTAATTAAAAACACGAGGCTCTTCCTCCTCCTCCTCCTCCTCCTCCGCTATTCCACATCCTGCCTCTTGCGAAGTGAAATTCCTTAAATGCCTGCCTCTACACCTCACCTAAATTTTGCCTGAGATTACACGGCTCTGTGCGTTCTCTGCAACCCAATTTCTGGAACCTTTCATTCCCCTGCAAAAGCCCCCCCCCCCCACAAATCTCCCATCTTTCCCCAGCATCCTTCAAGGTCCCTGCTTACTTGTTTTCTCTCTTGACCGTGAGGCAGTCCTCTCTCCACACACACACACACACACACACACTTGAGATAGATACAATAGGTATTTCTCGACATGTTTGGTGACGTCAGAACTTCCCGTAATTATAGAAATTAATTGGTCCAATCGTAATGTCTGACTTATGCTAAGTTGTCAAATAGGAAGAGGCTCTTATCAGTTGATCACACACAGCCTGCATTCGTTACACAGTGGAAACTTGGCTCGTATATTCAGTACCCTCACACACACACACACGCACGTCAGCAGACACACACGCACACACACACGCGCACACACACACACACACACACACACACACACACACACACACACACACACACACACAGAGATACAATACCACCGGGGGTCTCTCGTGATTTTCATTTGAATTGTTTAAAATGCCTGCGTTAGAGCTTGCACGCCTCAGGGTCTTTCTGGTGAGTAATTAATTTCTAGCATGTGGGGGTTGAGACCAGAGCTCGTGGGCCTGCCTCCTGGCTCCGGCTGTGTGTGCATGTGTGTGTGTGTGAGGGAGAGAAGGAAAGGGAGGCTTTGCGCTGGCTCGGCTACTGCGTCCTAGCCTAGGGGAGGAGAGGGGTTGGGGGGGGGAGAAAAAACAGCACAGCGCAGAAAATCGATCCAGGGGCCGCTCTTCTCAGCCTCTTCCGGACGCAAGAGTCCTCCTCTCCGGGGAATTAGATAACGGCTTGTAAAAGCTCTCCACCGCCAGCCCCTCTCTCTCTCTCTCTCTCTCTCTCTCTCTCTCTCTCTCTCTCCTCTCCCCCTCGCCGACTTTTAGCTGCTGCCACATCTCTCTGTCTCCCTCCCTGCCCACCGCCCGCTCTCTACCTCACTGCTTGTCCACGAGATATTGAATTCGTTCCGTTCACATTACGGCAAAGTATTGGCTTCCAGTTTAATTGGAATCCCTGTTTCTTCTCATAACTGTGTGGATATTGCGTATTATCTGCAGGTTAATATTTTATTAGATTTTAATTGGCCTTTGTTGTTTTCCTCAGTGCACTGATCCTCCAGTTAAGACACTGACTCTGTGTGTGTGTTTGTTTGTGTTTGTGTGTGTGTGTACGATTGAGACACAGCAAAACATCAGTATTAATGTAAATATTCACTTTCTCCACATGGGTCCCTCTTCTCTCCCCTCCAGGTTTCGTTGGCCGAGGAGATCAAGCCATTGAAGTGGTATCCCTCCGTTTACCTGCTGGTGTCAATCTTTCCCCTCATCAACAGGTAACACACACACACACACACACACACACTCTCACGCCTGCACGGGACATCAACTCTGCGCTCGCATTTTATTTGCATGTTGGCTTCGCTCCGCTGTCTTATCTCCTCTCCGCTGTCACCCACTCCCTCCCCCTTTCCTCCCTGCTCTGCTTTTCCCATCCTCCTCTCTCTCTCTCTCTCTCTCTCTCTCTCTCTCTCTCTTATCTGAACCCTCACAAAGCTTCACGCTCTCTCTCTCTTCGGCAGCATAAACACTAAAGGGGATTTTGTGTGCCGGTGCCTGAGTATTGGAAGTACGGAGCATTTTATTGCCTTTTTTTTTTTTAACCCAGGGCCTCATCGACTGGGGGTTGGTGTGAGGAGGCGAGTGGTCCAGTAAACGATAACCCCCGATGCTGTTATTACTCCCTCACTCCCTTCCCTTCCTCCCTCTCTCCGTCTCCCTCCTGCTTTAATTTGCCACTGCTCCCTCCCTCCCCCCTCCTTTCCCTCCCCCTCCCCACTTTGAAACCGGTGTGATTGACAGGTCAGGGTTACTAAGTGATTAGCTGCGGCGGCTCTGCTTGTCGCCACGGCGATGTAGGCGGAGACACAGGTCAATTACAGGGTCAACGTCTTTCAAAGGCGCCGCTCAAACACTGCACCCCCTCCCTCTTCACCTTCTCCTCACGCTCTCTCACCCCCTCTCCTCCTCCTCCTTCACCTCTCCATCCATTCCAGCCTCCCCCCCCCCTCTCTCCATCCCGTTCCCCCAGCTGTCGGCTGATGAAGATGACAAACTGCATCCTGCGCTAACCCCAAAACGCCCTATCTTCCTTCCCCTCCCTGTCCTCAATCCCCCCCCCTGTCTTTCCTTCCTTCCCTTCATTAATGTCACTTTCTCTTCCTCTATCCCTCATGTTACGCTCACATATGTTTCTTACAATCCTTTTATTTCCACTCCTCCTAGCGTGGGCTTGTCGTCTTTCTCCTTCTGTGTTTTTCATGTCAGCTCCCCACCTCTTCCTCCACCACTTCTCCTATCCTCTGCCACACAAAGCCCTCGCTCTCTCTCTCTCTCCCTCTCTTGAGCAAACAAGCTCTCGCTCGCTCAGCTCCGCTCCGCTTTGCCTTTCTCCAGAGAGCGAACGAGGAGAAAACGGGAATGAATTGCTCTCGTCGTCGTCCTCCACCACCACCGCCTCCACCTCTTCCCTCTCCCCCCTCCTCCCCGTCCTCTCCGGCTCAGCAGCGCTGGCTGTATACATCTCCGGCTCCTATTAATTTGTTAGCCTCCCCTCCCTCTTACCCCTTCCCTGACTCACTCGCCTCCCTCCCTCCCACCGGCTCATATCCTCCCCCGCCTTCTCCTCCCTTCTTTCTCCATCTCTCCCTCCTTCCTTCCCTCCCCTCTGCTGAGTGCTGGAGTGTGTAAAGTGTTTGTCACGGTGCCGTGCCGATGTCGCTCTGCCCTGCCGTGTGGAAGCGGCGCACAGCAGACAGCCTTAGTGTGTGTTTCGCTCTGTGTGTGAGTGTGGGTGCGTGCGCGTGTGTGGAGGTGGGTGGTTGGCTTCGTGTCAAGGCGAATGTGCTGTCTCTGCTTGTTGCCGTGTGTGCGTGTGCCTGCCTGCGCACTTGTTTGTCCGCCTCAACTTGAGTGTGTGCTTTTGCGTGTCTGTCCGTGAGCATTCCCATGTGTTTGTATATGTGTGTGTGTGCTGCAGTTTGTGTGTACATGCCTACCGTGTGTGTGTGTGTCTGAGTGGGGGATTATTTCTATCTGAGCTCCAAAGCCTCCTAAACAGGGCTTAGAGAGACGGCCCAGGGCAGCAGCTAAAGCCGTTGGGTAGAGCTCTCTCTCTCTCTCTCTCTCTCTTTTTTTCTCTCTCTCTCTTTCTCTCTCTCTCTTTCTCTCTCTCTCTTTCTTTCTCTCTCTCTCTCTCTTTCTCTCTCTCTCTCCTTCCACAGCTTGCTCTGCATCCCTCTTCCCCCCTCTCTGCCATTTCTCCCTGCCCTGATCCATTGCGTTAATACACAGACACTCCCACACACAAACACCATCATGGGCCTTCATCTGCTACCTCGCACACACACACACACACACACACACAAAAAACGCACGCACGCACACAGTCACGCCACACACGCCACACTCAATTTTAATCTGTTCCAAATGCACACTGGTAAATGTGTTAATTCGACACCAGCTGTTGCGAATTGAAATGGGAAAGCGCTCCTACTTTTCCTCGACGCGCTCTTACACACATGCACGGACGAGTCATTATACATAATTTTGCCACACGTCCCTCTCTTTCGCTCTTCCTCATTTACTTTCCGTCATTTGGCAGCACAAAAGTAGCACCAGACACTCGCACCTTAGCACTTAAACCTCCTCCATCTCCTCTCTCTACTACTCCTTCTTTCTCCGCCACTCTCCCCTCTGTGTGTGTGTGTGTGTGTGTGTGTGTGTGTGTGTGTGTGTGTGTGTGTGTGTGTGTGTGTGTGTGTGTGTGTGTGTGTGTGTGTGTGTGTGTAACCACTGCCCGGGCACGACTAGAGTTTTCACAGTCTGCTTCTCACATCGCCTCCCCTGTGTGCTTTATGGTGTGGGTGTGTGTTTGTTTACAAGGCTTGTCTAGATTCCTACTGAGCGTGCTTGTACGCCTGTTTGCATAAATAAACCCTGTTGTCGGAACCTCGCTGCTGATTTCTGTGGCTTGATGAGCAAGTGCTCCTCCTGGACAGCCTGCTCGTCTTTTACAAGGACTTTTTGCTCTCCATTAATACCCCCCCCCCTTCCCCTTTTTTTGACACTGAGCAGGGAGAAACCGTCATCCTCATTTAGTGTCCTTTTTTCTTTCCCTTTTCTCCTCGCAGGCTTTGTCTTAAAGCTCTAAGGGAAGACTCTGGGCTGGAGGAGAGAGCCTGAGAGCAATCAGTGTAATATGCCTTGCAGAGAAGTGCTTCAGCGTGGATAGATTGGCCCTGGCGGCGGGACTTGAACCAGTAATGTCTCTGTAACCTTGAGTTCACCCTGTCACTCCAGGAGGCTGCTTGCATCCTCCTAGTTATTCTTAGTTTCCCTCGATACTGCGTGTGGGTTTTTGCGGTGTGTATGGGCCTATACGTGCTTGCAGGGGATTTTTCTATGGGCTCCCTACAGCGTCTAAGCCCCCGCCTTTCTCTGGAGGAGATCTGATTTCCCTGCTCCAGGCAAGCAGGGAGAACAAGACAGTGCGTGCGTGCGCCTGTGTGTGCTTCAGTGCGTGCCTGCGCTTTTGTGTGTGTGTGCGCGCAACCGGGGCCGGGCAGACCTTCCCCATCTCCGTTCCGCACTTTGAAAAACGAGTGAGGAAATCTCAGAGCAGCAGTTATTATTCATCCCTCAAAGAGAACGGGGGAGGAGGCGGAGGGAGGGTGGGAGGGAGGGAGGGAGGGATGGATGGAGGGAGGAAGAAAGAGAGAGCCAAACGGGAGGGAGTAAGGAGGGGTGGGGGATACATTAACTCTTATCTCACTGTATTCGGCTTTCTGCATCCCAGGATGCGCTCTTTCTCTCCCTCTCTCGCTCAGCTCTGCTCTCTCCTTTCTTTCTACACTCCCTTCCTTCCGCTCCTCGCCTCTGCGCCTCTCGGAATATCTTGCATTCAGCGCGCGAGGATGTGTGTGTTTGCGCCTCCGTGTGTGTAGGCTGGTGTGTGGTTTGTACTGTATACCCTAATATCTTTTGTGGTGTATTTTGTTTACTTGAACAAGTGAGCTCCTCAGATGCTGAAAGGCAGTATGCAAGGTTCCAACTCTCATCTTTGTTTGTCTGAGAGCTTTTTTTTTATTTATCTATCGCTTCACATTCAATTTACTGTATGAGAGTGGCAGCATTGGCCTGTTTACTAAAATAAGTTTTGAAGTTGATATAGCTGGCAGGTATTTGATGTCTCTTTTGTCTTTAGATTCGGAGGCAAAAGTGGGGGTCGCAAAGAAAGTCACTTTGAATATAATCTTATAAACTGCATTAGAGCCCGACCAATATTTTTATTTTCTTAATAAAGTTTATTGTTGAACTATAAAATATCAAGCCATAATTAAATTTCTTAGTCAAAGTGTTCTGTAACAAATCTTTTAAAATCGTATTAAATGTTTTCATATATACTGGCCGATATATCGGTATTATCAATTCTCTATGTCCTTATTTCGGTATCGGCATCAGCACCAAAAAATCCATATCCGTTGGGCTCTGGTGCCTATAACCACCCTGATTGCCTGTGTGATAATTAGTCGCATACATTTGCTGAGTTATGAGAAAGTGGTCTCAGCCTATTGGACCCTGTGTGTGTATGTGTGGCTGAGATGATATTTAGAGGATATACAGCCATGTTTACTGCGTGTGCCCACGTGTGTGTGCTTGTGCCTTTGTATCTCAGGCGGCGACTGGTGTGTAATTGAAGACGGTGAGCTGCGCTGCCATCCGTCTCCCATTGAGCAGCAGAGATGCTCCGCTATTAATCCCTGTTTAGCGAGACAGCGAGTTGGCCTACAGGGCTGCAGGCGCACACAGGGCAGGCACCAACACCAACGCTGGACACGACACACACACACACACACACTCACACTCACACACACACAGCTCGTCATTCATTATCGTAGTGGATGCACACACTCTATACGTAGTAATTTATACATAATTGCATCCTTCTTAGGTGAATATGCAGATATGACACATTCACATACAAACACATATATAGTTGCCCATACACAAACATTAACACACATATACAGTCCCTATAGACATACATATGAAGCATGCTCTAATTTACAGATATACAAACTACCACATACATGTAGTCATATACATACATTCGTGTACACGCACATGCTATACGCACGCAAATGGTAGAGGAGATACTAGATAACCTCCCTCGCACACACTTCGGCACGAGCACACATTCACAGGCGCATGCAAAGATAAACACATGCACATAAACACACACACACACACACACGCATGCGCACACACACACATG